AGACGGGTTCACGTCATTTTGTGTTTCCACCTCGGCATCTTGAATATCAATCCTCACTTCTTGATTCACATTTTCATCAACCACATTCTCAACCACCAAAGGAACTTCATCTTCTTGCAACTCAACTTCATCACCCAAAACTTGCTTTTGTTTGGAGGCATTCACATCACCGCCTCGTCCACTCCTTGTAGTTACTGCCATAACATGATTGTTACCACCCTTTGGGTTAACCACCATATCACTCGGTAGAGCCCCCTTAGGGCGAGTATTTAAAGACTGTGAGATTTGGCCTAGCTGGAGCTCCAAATTCCTGATTGAAGTGTTGTGAGAAGCCAATTGCGCATCGGAGTAAGCATTCTTTTTCATCATCTGTTCAAACATCATTTCAATTCTACCCATTTCATTGTTGGAAGAACTAGGACCCTGGGATGGAAAAGGCGGTGGGTTGCTCGGTTGTTGGTACATTGGGGGCCTTTGAAAGCCTTGACCCAGATTTCCTTGGTTATTGTTCCATCCACCCTGGTTGTTGTTGTTTCCACCCCAATTGTTGTTGTTGCCCCAGTTTCCCTGATTATTCCGATTGTTATTTTGATTTCCCCAATTGTTGTTCCCTTGTTGTTGATTGTTCCAATTATTGTTGCCTTGTTGTTGGTTACCCCAATTGCCCTAGGATCTCCATTATTGTTGTTGGTCAGAAGAATTACCTCTTTGGCCTTGGTAATTATTCACTATATTGAAGAATCGGTCCTAACCTAGAACAACTTCGAGGAACATTATCGGATGATCGAGCATACCAACAGAAGGCCGAAGTATCCGTGGCCGGCCGGATATCACGACAGGGATTTCGNGGCCTTGGTAATTATTCACATATTGCACCTCTTCGTTCTGCCCATCATAACAATCATCTTGGAATCCACCACAATCATTGTCAAATTTATCCGAATTCCCTTGGTTCTGTTGACCTCTCTATCATCTATTGTTCACAAGCATGTTAACACCCTCCATGGCATTTACTTGGCGAGGATTCTGAACTTGTTGCAACTGTGCCTTTGCTAATTGGTTCATTGTTGTTGTAAGTTCTATTATAGCCTGTCCATGGTCATGTAGTTCTTTGTGCAAATGAGTGACCGTGGGGTCACCCTGTGGCACATTGACTCTACTTTTCCAAGCGGAGGATGTGTCAGCCATCTCGTCAAGAATAGCACAAGCTTCATCATAAGGCAGCTTCATGAAATTTCCCCCAACCAATTGATTCACTATGCATTGATTCATTGTATTGATTCCCCGATAGAAGGTCTGTTGTATCATAGCCTCGGTCATATCATTGTTGGGGTATTCCTTTACCATCGTTCTATATCTCTCCCAAATCTCGTGTAATGGTTCGATGGGCTCCTGCTTGAAGGCTAAGATTTCATCCCGTAGTGTTGCCATGTGCCCCGGTGAGAAAAATTTGGCAATGAACTTATCCGCCAACTCATCCCAAGTTGTGATGGAATGGTTGGGAAGTCGCTTAAGCCAATCCAATGCCTTCCCTCTAAGTGAGAATGGGAAGAGCCTCAATCGAAGTGCATCCTCGGACACATTGGTTTGCTTGCTCCCCCAACAGGTATCCACGAACCCCTTGAGATGTTTGTAAGCATTCTGAGTGGGAGCACCCGTGAAGTACACGCACTGCTCCAACAATGTCAGCATCATGTTGGTTATTTGGAAATTGCCCGCCCAGATCCGGGGCGGAACAATTGCACTTGCATAACCTTGGCTGGGAAGAACTCTAGGAGCCACTCTTGGAGGTGGCGGAGGAGGGTCTGGAATATGTTTATTAACAATGGCCTGGCGGCCTCTTCGTTGTCCTGGAGGTACAAGAGGCACCTTATCCTCTCCATTATCATCAACCTTCTCCCCCACAATCACGTTTCCAAGAGGGTCATTAGCATTTAATGCCATTTTGTACCTGAAGTTGTGACACACACAAATTGGTAACAAAGAAGGAAAGAAGAACAAAACACAAAACTATTTAGATAGATAGCCAAAACCGTTAGCTCCCCAGCAACGGCGCCAAAAAGTGATCGAAGCCAATCCTGCACTACTATTGAGTAGCGAGAGAGGGTCGAAGCAGCTTTTACCCGATTTAGGGTCGGGATCGATTTCCACAGGGAGCGAGATATTGGAGTTGGGTGTCTATCTAAAATTGAGTTGTGTATTTGCTCCAAATTGCACTTCTACACATTTTTGGTTTTAATTATGATTCTAATCTTTATAAAACTACAATGCTCATTTAAACTAAAATAAGCTAGGATTAAACTATTGCGAGTTGTTCAAATGATTAACATGCACTAGGGTAGTGACTTTCGCATAGGTGGTCAATTGACGGATTCTTGAGTCTAAAGCTAGATTGACACATTTGGGGAGTATGATATAACCATTGCTCGATTCTACTCACTCTATACCTCTCGGTAGTTCGAGTGATTTTGCCTGAATTGACTTTCTCAAGACCAATTGGGTATGCAAATTTGCACAAGCAATTAAGGTTCAAGTCGGGTATTACGATCTCTCGGTTTAACCCTTTAATTGGGGCTATCAATTCTCTAGAGTACGCCCCAATTCCTTGTTGGACTAATTTTGGAGACATAGGCTCTCTTTGTCAAGAAGAGCAAAAGTCAACTAAACACAAACTAGTGTTTGCAACCACTAATTTAGCAATAAAACATGAAATTAGCCCAAATATCAAACACCCATAGTCAATCAAGCCCTAAAATACAAGACCCATCAATTACCCACATTAGGTTTGAGCCACAACCCTAACTAATGGGTCTAGCTACTCATAATTAGAGAGTAAAACAAAGAAATAGATGAAGATGAACTCATAATAATTAATTACTAAGAAGAACTTGATGAATCAATGGTGAAATTAAGCTAAAATTACTCAAAATAGCAAAATAACCCAAGTCACGAGCGCAACTCTACGTACAAAACTATCTGCTGCTCTAAAAATGGGAAAAGAATCTATTTATACTAGGCTAAAAATCTCGGACAAAAATACCCCTGCGGGGCTAGTGCGGACCGCACAAAATCACGTGCGGCCGGACTAAGGCTCTTGACTTGAATTTCCAGCTCTCTGAACTTGGGCAATGCGGACCGCACAAAGTCTAGTGCGGCCGCGGTGGCTTCTAGTGCGGTCCGCATGAAATGGAGCGCGGACCGCATTGGGCTTCAAACTTGAAATCGGCAACTCTCTGAACCTTCTTTCTGCGGACGGCACTAAATCGAGTGTGGCCGCATTGATCCCAGTGCGGACTGCGCAAAACCTCGTGCGGCCGCATTGCCTTTGTGCCTGAATAGCAGCCTCTCTGAACCTCACTTGTGCGGACCGCACAGGATGGTGTGCGGCCGCATTAGCCCTGTTTTGCTTGAGCTTTGTCTTGTCTTGGTACTTGTGCAAGTTTCACTCCTTTTTGAGCTGATCTTTGACACCTTGTCACCTTGTTGATCAAACCTACAATGAAGCACCACTTGTGAGCCTTTGGGACTATTTTGTACACATTTCTAATCAAAACTTGAGCATGAAGGAGTGTAAAATGCGTCATATTCCCTAGTTATCAATAAGCTCACAGCAAAAGAAGAAAGAATCTCCTAGTCAGGGTGCTTATTGAAATGGATGTGATCCAGCCTCTCCCTAAATTGGTAACACTTGAGGAGTCTGCTAATAGCTGCATTTTGCAACCACTTGAGCATGAATGGAAACCATAGTACTGCCAGGAATGCTTGCAGATTGGTAAATACAAAGCAAACTACAAAGCACAGAATAAGACACACTCTGAAACAATTGACAACAAACAACCAAGGAGACAACAGATGAAAGTAAAGCAGCAACAATGAAAAGCCAAACCCAGTACAGAGCCACCTACTGATGCTACTGAAAAGACAGACGATGGACTAAAGGAAAAACACAAGGAAAGGAATGCTATGGAGGAAAGCCATGAAACTCAAAGATTATGCAATGACAGGGGCAAGCAGAAGATGGATGAAAAGAAGGATACCAGGTCAAGGTCTCCATTAGTAACTGAAGATGTTAACAACTCCTACGCCAGAACAGATTCAGTGTGCTAAGGATACAACTTGAGATAGCTAATACCAGCCTGGTAAAGGGGGATAGTTTAAACAAAGATTCCCTATGATCATTTGCTCATGAAACATAAGAGGGCTAAACTAGCCCTAAAAGCAAAAGGAATTGAGATCTTTTTGCTTAAAAGTAAAGTGGTACTGCTGGAATGTCTAGAAAGTAAAATAAAGCAGAGCAGAGCAGAAAAAATAAAAAGAAAGTTAGGAGCTGAGTGGCTGATACATGTAGACTATACAATCACCCCTAAAGGCAGATTGTGGATTTGCTGGAAACCTCACAAGGTTTTAGTAGCTATTTTTCTATCGCATATGCAACTAGTACATGTAAGGTTGAGGACAAGGAGTCACAATTTGCCTGCTACATGACCTTTGTATATGGAAGGAATACACAAAATAAAAGGAAAGACTTATGGAGACAACTGAAACAAATTAGCACCCTAATGTCTGATCCCTGGGTTGCCGCACGTGACTTCAATGCAATCCTTTATGTCCAAGATAGAGTAAATGGATTGCCTGTGAAACAATCCGAGATTGAAGATTTTCAAAACTGCATACAAGAGACTGGAGAGGCAAAGGATAGAGTATACAGTTTGATTGATTGGGCATTTGGTAATGATCTCTGGTTTATGAGGTATGAAAAGCTGGAAGCATTCTACCATCATCCGGAATGTTCAGATCACTCACCAATCATTATCATAACAGAGGTGGCCAAATAGAAATTGCCTAGTCCATTTAGACTTACTAATGTACTATTGACTCATGAGAACTTCAAGGAATCAGTACACAAAGCTTGGGGACGACATATACAAGGACATACCATGTATGCAATCTGGAGGAAACTTAAGTTGATAGAGTTGGAAACCTACCAGATGAATAGAGAAATGTCAACATTTGAGAGGAAACTGAATGAGCTGAAAGACAAGCTACAACATACACAGTTGGAACTGAGTGCAGATCTGTTCAATGAACAACTCATTATAACTGTAACGATACTCCTAGAAAAATGGACAACTATACATGGGAAAGTACTTCGACAGAAATCTAGAGCAATATGGCTAGCTTATGGAGACTCGAACACAAAATTCTTTCATGCAACACTAAAAGCTAGACAAGCTAGAAATAGAATCTCCTTTATTTTCATAGAACATGGAATACAACTGCATGAGCCTGCTCTAATCCAAAAAGAATTTATTGGTTTCTTTCAGAACTTACTAGGAAAAGCTGCAGTAGAAATCCCATGCCTAGACCCAACAATATCAAGAGATAGACCTTGTCTCACTCATGAATATCAACTGAACCTTATATAGGAAGTAATAGAAATAGAAGTGCTTTAGGCTCTGAAATACCTCCCAGCTGATAAAGCTCCTGGCATTGATGGATTCCCAGCTGAATTCTTCAAACAGTACTGGCATTTGATAGGTAAGTGGTAACAAAGTCTACAATGCAATTCTTTCAAACTGGTAAACTACTTAAGGAAGTAAATTGCACTACTGTAACTTTAGTTCTGAAAGTAAAAAACCCTACCTTTGTGAAGGAATTCAGACCCATAGCCTACTGTACTACACTATATAAACTGATAGCTAAAGTCATTACTGCTAGGTTGAAATTAGTAGTTGACTACTTACTAGGGCCTTCAGAATCAACATTCATTAAGGGGAGAAACATTCTAGATAATATGATTGTGGCACATGAAATGGTGAAGGGTTACACATAAAAAGGAGTGTCTCTTAGATTCCTTGTAAATGTTGATATTAGAAAAGCCTATGATACAGTTGAATGGGGCTTCCTCAGAATGGTCCTACTAGAATATGGGATGCCCGGGAAGTTTGTAAACCTAATTATGGAGTGTGTCAGCATAGTGAGCTATTCTTTGCTATTCAATGGTGGCCTTACACCCAGATTTCAAGGTGAGAGAGGTCTAAGACAGGTAGACCCAATGTCTCCATACTTGTTTGTTCTTGTGATGGAGTATTTGAATAGATCGCTCAAGCAGCTGAGACACAATCCAGACTTCAACTATTACCGAAGATGCAGCAAGTTGGAGACAATCCATATATGCTTTGCTGATGATTTAATTATACGTTGCAGAGCTGATCCAATTTCTGTAAAGTTGATGTTGCAGCAGTTCCACCACTTCTATGCAGTATCTGTTCTCAAGGCAAATTTGGAAAAGAGTTCACTTTATGTGGCAGGGATCAGTCGACAACTCAAGGAACAACTATTGAATGAAATGCAATTCTTAGAGGGAGAGATCCCATTCAAGTTTCTGAAGTTCCTCTTTCCTCAAAGATGATCACAGTTCAACAATGCCTACCATTGGTTGAGAAAATGGTTGCAAGAATAAGATGTTGGTCCACTAAATTCCTATCATATAGTGGAAGGGTGCAACTTATTAAAAGTATGCTATTTGAGATGCAAATCTACTGGGCTCAGGTGTTTCTAATTCCTAAAAAGGTTATTCAACTCATAACTAGAGTTTGCAGAATATTCCTATGGACAGGCAGTCATGAGAGCTCAAGGAAAGCCTTGGTTGCATGGGAGACATTGTGTAAACCACAGTCAGCAAGTGGTCTGAACTTCATAGAGTTTCATACATGGAATAGAGCAGCTATTAGTAAATTACTATGGGCTGTAACAACCAAGAAAGATGCACTCTGGATAAAATGGATTCATACCTTCTATATCAAAGGGAAAGATGTTCAGCAATAAATACACCTATACATGCTTGCTGGCTGGTAAGGAAAATATTGGATGCAAAGAAATGGTTCCTGAACATGGACTACAATGTGACATTAAGAGTTGCTGTGATAAAGATAAGTTCAGCATTAAAAAGCTTACTTACTCTTTCTTCCACAGTTTCAGAAAGTCAATGGAAAAGGCTAGTGCTGGGACCAACTACTATACCAAAACATAAGTTTATCCTATGGCTGACACTACTGGGTCGATTGGCTACTGTTGATCGATTGCAGAAATAGAGCATACATGTCCAAACTGACTGTGTCTTATGTAATACTGGAGCTAAGGAAAACCTGCAGTATCTGTTCTTCCAGTGCCCTTACTCATCCCAAATTTGGAGTGCATTACTCAGGTGACTAGGGAGAATAGGAGAATTAGCAACTGGGAGGAGGAGATTGATTGGATAAGCAGAAAGATGAGGAACAACAGACCACGAGTAGAGATCATGAAGTTCCTATATGCTGCTACTGTCTACCATGTATGGAATGAAAGAAATGCAAGGAGATTTCAAGCTGAAAAGAAAGAAATCCAACAGAGACTAAAAGAGATATCCATATAGTTGCACACAAGAGGGCAACACTTCAGCAGATGGAAGAAAGTCTAAGGCCTCATTTGTTTTTTTTTAAGATTAAGACGTCTGAATCTGAATACACATCTGAATATCAAGGTGTACATTTAGATTAAGACATCTGAATTTGAATACACATCTTAATATGTTAAGATGTGTATCAAGATCAGAATACTACAAGATTAATACTGTTTGTTTTTTAACATCTGAATGTATAAAAATTATCTTTATTTAAAAATTAATAAACATAAAATTCAAATAAAATACTAATTAATCTGTGTGTGTGTGTGTGTGTGTATGTATATTAAAATATGATAGTTAGTGGTGGTGATGTCTAACGATGGTGTTTGTGAATGCCGACTAGAGGCGGTAGTTGGTGTGGTTGATGGTGGTTCTGGGTAGTAGCTAGTGGTGATTGGTAGTGATAGCGATTATGGTTGAGGATAGTGGTGGTGGGTGGTAATAACTAATAATGGTAGGTGTTTGTGGTGGTGGTGGTGGTGGTTGTGATTGAGGAAGGTAGTGGTAGTTTATAATGATGGGCAGTGCCGACTATGGTTATTGATGGTGATGAGGTGGTTAGTTGAGGTGGATGAATTTGTGGTTGTGGTTGAGAATGATGGTGGTGGGGGTAGTGAGGATGGTGGGTGGTGGTTGTCGATAATGGTGGTGGCTATGATTGAGTATTGTGGCAATGGTGGTGGTGGTTGAGTATGGTGGTAGTGGGTGGCATGGTGATAGTTGATAATGGTAGGCGGTGGCGACAATTAATGATGAATGTGGATGATAGCATCTTAATAAAATTAAATATTTGTTATGGATGTTAATCATACAGACCACTTCAGACCCACTAAGTGGTTGTGAAGTAAAGAAAACAAACACACATAATGATTAAGTTCTGTATGATTAAGATTCAGACGTTAAAAACAAACGCACTTAATGTCTGAGATCTAAATGATTAAGATTTTGACCTCCATTAAGTGCAAACAAATGAAGCCTTAGAGTCGTTGATTAGTTACCCTATTTAGAGGTAGTTGATATACTAGAAAGAGAAACTTATACCTTCACAAATAGGTAGTGAGAGTATGGAGGACTAGTTATAAAGTCAAATGTAACTAGTGGATGTATATAATTATACTTGGTTGTAATAAAACTTTTAATTTTGACCAAAAAAAGAAAAAGAAATAAGGTTAAGAATGAACTATCATTTTCTTCTATAATTGATCGATATAAACGTCAACAATTTTGAATTGGATCAGTTTTGCAAGAACACTTTAACCAAATGTAACATATCACTCCTAGAAGTAGTTGACGATTTTTAAATCGTTTTGAAGGAGAGAAAAAATCACAAATAAGTAGTAATTAAATGAGATTATTCAATTTTCAATTCTTTTTCTATACTCACTCTAGTACTTACAAAGGCCCATAAGCCTTTCTTAGGTCTGGTCTTGTAGGCCCATTTCGAAGGGAAGTTTGGGCTTAGTCTTCAAGGTACGAATGTCAATAAGCCGGGTTCGGAAACATTTATGCCTAAAAATACTAGCCAACAATATATATAGTGGGCTAGCAAATGCAATTAGTTTCGATATATCTGTATTTTGCCCTTATTTACCCCATCTAATAGGTTTATCTCCTAAGGTAGGGGAAAAGTGCCAGATTTACCTCTCTACTTTTAAATATTATCTATATTTAACCTATGTTATACTTTCGAGACATATATACTCCTACAGTAAATAAAGTATTCAAATCTACCACATTTTTTTTACGTGGCCTGATATTTCCATGAGGTGAACGCACAAGGCATGTCGCTTCACCACCTTAACCATATTTTACGCCCTCCCTCAATAACTTCTGGTCACCTTCCTTTTCTTCCTCTTCTGTTTCATACAACTCTTGCTCCTCAGTTTCTTTCAAATGTAAAATTGCATTCCTATTTTATTTACACATTGAATAGAGGGGAATCTAAACCTTAGTCTCTAAAGGAAAAGAGTTCGAATTTGGATATATGAGTATATGGTTTTATGAAACAAATGTTTTTGAATTTTTTCTTTATTGTTTCAATATATCTAAACTTTGGAAACTGAAAATGGAAAAGAAAAGGACTTATGTGAACATTTAAGGAAATAGATTCTGCTGTTAAATTTGATGGTAATTCCCACTTGTGATGTTTGTGGAAAATTCTTCCCTTTTGAAATACCATTAATTTTTCAAGATCTTTTTTCTTCTTTCACCATCTAAGCTCCGCGTATAATGTGTATGGGGTAAAATTGATTTATAACGGATGGTCAAATGGTAATATGACACGTTGAACCGAAGATAGCCAAAAGGCAAGTCAGGAAATAGCCGTTACCGAATACAGTGAATGTAACCAATACCGGGTAAATCTCGAAGGGAGCGTAGTGAATGATAGAAGGTCAAGGGTTTGCCGTCGGATAACATTCAACGAGGGAATATTCACTAATAATAAATGAGCGACTGTTGCGAGCAACGAGAATGTTTGTATTCATGGCCTCCCGTTACATGTTCATCAATAACTCTTTTATTATCATTTAAGAGGAGCTTGATCCTAGGATCTTGTTTCCCTAGGTAAAGCTATAAATAGCATGTTCAACAGCCATTGTAAGGGGACAAGAAACTTTCTGCACATAAAAGCTTTATTTTACTATTTTTTCTCTCAATTAAATAACTTTATTTGCTCCTTATCGCTACTCTCACTTTTATTTTCGAAGGCACTGCGTTCGGAGTCAGGCTCGTCATTTTCTTCAATTTCAATCGCTAATCTTAATATTAATATTTGTCACGGCCCGAAATTCCTACCGTCGGGACCGTGATGGCGCCTAACACTTCACTTGCTAGGCAACCCAACGTTATAACATATTATCCATTTTAAACAGTTGAGTTAACTAATGAGAAATAACTGAGATAACTGAAGTAAACTAAGATATAAATACGGAAGCTAAAACTGTAAATATCTGCTACAAATCCCTGAACTCGGTGTCACGAGTGCACGAGCTACTAGAATAGTACATACAAGTGTCTGAAATAACATAAAGTTGTCTGAATAGAAGATACACAGCTAAATAAAAACAAGAAGGGGACTCCAGGAGTTGCGGGTGTTGAGCAGCTATACCTCAAGTCTCCGCAGGCCGTTTGATCCGAGCTCTCTAGTAGCCGCCGCTGGGGCTGACTCCAAAATCTGCACAACAAGTGCAGAGTGTAGTATGAGTAGAACGACCACATGTACTCGTAAGTACCGAGCCTAACCTCGACGAAGTAGTGATGAGACTAAGGCGGGTCACCTATACTACAACCTGTACGCAGTATATAATAATGATAGAATGGAAATACAGAACAAGATTTAATAGTCAATTATAAACAAGAACAATAGCCTAATGATGAACTAGTGTTGTCCAGAATTACCAATCCTTAGCATTTCAAATGAGAACACTGAAAACCAAGCACACCTCAGGAAATGGAAACATATAGGTTGTTCCGATGCGCAACCCTATCCCATCGTATAATACAAAATCCTCCCTTATTCCACCGTAACAATATCAACAACAAAGATAATATATATAAATATGTTGCGGCGCGCAACCCGATCCCACCATATATCAATATCAGTATCATAGTTCACCCTTATTTCACCATATCTATCCACCTTTATTCCACCTGTTGCGGCGTGCAATCCGATCCCACAGTATAGTATATATTCACCCTTATTCCACCATATCAATCCACTCTTATTGCACTTGCTGCGGCGTGCAGCCCGATCCCACCATAGAAGTACCAAATACTCAATGCACAGTCCAAACTACAAAACCTTTATGATCAATAAATATCAAACTGAACCAAAAGAAAACCTTGTACAATATAGAAATCTACACGAGTAACACTACACAGCGAGACCAATCCGGTAATTGACAATTAGAAGGTGCAAGTAAGTCAATTTAAGCAATTAGCAGGGAATCATGAAACTATGGGAGGGC